TTTCATCGCGGACTTACCGGCATCGGAAAATTGCAATAGAATCCCAGTCGAGGTGGATTGTCTGACCAAAATGAGTTATTTCATTCCCGTCAGAAAAGATATCAACACGAGGGATTTTATACAAACATTCTTACGAGAAGTCTTCCGACTTCACGGCCTTCCAAAAAATATCATTACCAATTGAAGAACACTATTCACGTCGGGACTATAGAAGAAAGTAACCAGAGAAATGGGGATACAAAACAGAATGAGCACAGCGTTCCACCCACAAACGGATGGGCAAATGAAACGGGTAAATGTGATACTCGAACAATATTTAAGAGCCTATGTCAATTATCAACAAGATGACGGGTACAAGCTGTTATCTATGGCCGAATTCGCATACAACAATGGAAAGCAAGAAACAATCAGCATGACAGTCTTCTTCGCGAATTACACACAACATCCACAAAGTCAGACCACATATCATACAATTAATAATGTGATACCAGACAAAACCGATATAGGAAAACTACACGAAACATTACAATATGAAATGAGTCAAGCACAACAATGATAAAAGAAACAATACAATAAGCACCAAAGACCAGATCCGAACATATAACTGGGAGATATGGTATGGCTAATACCACGCAATATCCATACAACACGACCATCAATGAAATTGGACTACCAGAAAATCGGACCGTTCAGGATACTGGAAAGAGTAGGCAGCCAAGCTTATAAACTCAACCTTTCCTCCTCAATGCGAATACACAACACATTCCACATCTCACTCCTCGAATTATACAACGACAACAAGTTCCCATCACAAACACTTATTTCTCCCCCTCCGATCGAACTCGACAGAAAACCAGAATATGAGCTCAATAAAATAGTCGATTCCCACTTCTTCTACAGTAACCTCTAATACCAAGCCAACTGGACAGGATATTCACCCGAACATGATAAAACTTGGTACTTCGCACACAACTTTGAATAAGTACAAGATGCCATCTCAACCTTCCACCAGCGATACCCAAGCAAGCCCGGCCCAGGTGACGATTACGTTCAACCAAGACTAAGGCGAGGGAAAGACTTCCGCGCTGTTGTAAGAACACGAGGGCTGGAGCGATAGCCACCGCCAAACCACACCCACCAGCCCCGAATACACATTCATGGGGCCGACTGACAAAGAACTTAAGGAAAGGGAAAAACAAGCACAGCATAACGCCATGTCATGGACGGTATGCTATGATGACAGTTGCCAAACACATTTTGGTAACAAAGAAGGCACGGGATGGTTCCCGAGGGAATGTCAAAAGCATGGCCCACACCTGGACCACCTTCTGAACCATGGGCAACAATGCTCCAGAAATGGGTGCAGGATGCACTGGGTACAAAAAATATCTGTGGGATTCTAGCCGCAGAAGGATGGAAGCAGGAAAGAGTTGGAAGAAGAGGATGCCAGAAAGGCATGGGCCGCGAGGACACGGTCCAGGGAAAAAGGGGCCCAAAACTCCTCAGCAGACACGGAACTGGACGTCAGGAGCTGACAATGGCAGATCTGGGGACTCCGAGATGAACTTGGCCAAGCCGAGGTCACAATTTCGGCAAACGACAAAACGATCAAGGAGCTAAGACAGCTGAATGATAATCAGTGGCACACGATCGAGATGGCGAATGTAACTCTAGAATCAGTAAGGGTCAGATAGAGGACAGCAGACAAAAGGGTCAACAAGCTGAGAAGGACCATGCGCTCGGTAGGACGGGAACTATTGAAACTGGAAGAAAACGCCTGATGGGACTCAAGCTTAGGAGGAGGGAAGCTAATGTCATGAACGTGACTTAGCATGAAAGAGGTTTTCACGTGACACATGGTTATGAGTCACAGGTATGTTATTGTTTTACACATATGACTCATTCGGGTCATATGATTTGTTATGTGTGGGATTTGTGATGCTTTCGCGCATGGCTCAAATATGAGTCATGGGATATGCACCTGACGAGTATGCCTTGCGAGTGTACCTTGCGGGCAAGCCTTGCACATATGATTTATGTTTCGCACATGACCTCATTATGAGGTCATGGATTTCGCGCATAGGACTCAGTTGAGTCATATGACTTGTTTATTGGTTATTATTGGTTTATGAGTTTTTGTACATGACCTCACTATGAGGTCATGGGTTTTGAGCATGGGATCACTTTGGTCACATGACTAGTTTGTTATGATTTGGTTTCGCACATGTGACCACTTTAGGTCACATGACTATGGGCGGGAAGAATACTATATAAGGAGGCCGATGTGGCCGAGGAAGATAGGTTCTTCATGCTTTGTTCTAATTACTTTTCCTACTTATTACTTTAACGAATATAAAACACCTTTATGATCTTTATCTTTGTTGCAACGTTATCGTTACACCAAGGAAAGTTCTTCACGAAGACCAGTTAGAGAAAGCTTACGATAGGCATTTCTGATAGAAGACAAAGGTCTTGTACTATCGGTAACGTAGGCAGAGGCCTAGAGCTATCATAAGACGAAGAAAGAAGAAGTCAGAAAAGAGAAGTATAGTTCCCCGTCGCCAAGAACTAACTGTCCAACGGGGGATCGTTACAGCTATAGTGTTTTCTGTATTGCTTCGAACCATGTTTAGCTTGCTCTCCTTATCGATGGCACACCTTGCAAATCATTCTGCCGTAGTGTAATGCAAGTCGGAAATTTCCCATGCCTCTCAGAGTCACTCACTGCAGTTTCTTAGGAGGATGATATAGAGGGTAGCATCATCAAACTCGGCCTCGTATTCCAATAGTCGGCATCCGTTCCAGTATGCCGAAAAGGTTTGGTTTCCTTGTGGGAGTTTTTCCAGCTTTCGTCTTGCTGTCTCTTTGGTGTTGGGATCCCCGAATTGCTCGAAGAGTGTCGCTTTGAACTCTTTATATGTGACCTATTCTCTCTGTTTCCTTCCATCTTGGAAGGGCATGATCTATTATCCCGCGAGTCCTCCTAGTAGAGATTCCACATATGGAATCTTGATCTTATCATGGTATTCTCCATAGCCTTTAACAGCAAAATGCCCTTCACACTGTGCCAAGAATATTCGTAGCTTGTGTTAGACTCCTTCGTATGTGTCAAGTTTTTTTGCTTTCGGTCGTTGGATGTGTCCTTGTTCTGTATTTCGTGTTGCTGCTAGAAATGCTTGAAACTGATTCTCAGTCATTCCAAGTATGCTAGTGCCTGGTGTGGGAGTAGCAGGGGCCGGTGACCCAGGTACCGCTGATCCTGACATTCTCTCAGGTCGTAGAGTTCCTGCAGGAGAGCTATCAACTAGTGATCCTTTCTCTGGGATTACTGGGCTTGCTGCTCTCGAGAACTCTGCTGAAATATGATCTAGGGCGTCGCTGAATCCTCCTAGGTTGAGGTTTTGATCGTCGATGTTGATATCTCCTTCCCTGTCTGGGTTGAAGGATACCGTCTTGTATCGTTTGGCATCACACTAGGTGACACTTTGTAATGTAACGATTCCTCCTTGAATAGTTAGTTCTTGGGGACGAGGAACGATACTTCTCTTCTCTTTCTTTTTTCTTCGTCTTTCGATAGCACCAGGCCTCTGCCTACGTTACCGATAGTACAAGACCTCTGTCTTCTATCGGAAACGCCTATTGTAAGCTTTCTCTAACTCTTCTTCGTGAAGAACATTCCTTGGCGTAACAATAATGTTGCAATAAAGATAAAGATCGTAAAGGTATTTTATATTTGCTTTTAAAGTAATAAGTAGGAAAAGTACTTAGAACAAAGCGTGAAGAACCCATCCTCCTCAGCCGTATCAGCCTCCTTATAGTGTTCTTCCCGCCGGTAGTCATGTGACCTAAACTGGTCACATGTGCGAAATCAAATCATAACAAACTAATCATGTGACCAAAATTGTCACATGCTCAAAACCTATGACCTCATGACGAGGTCATCTGCGAAACTCATAAACTAATCATAAAGTAATAAACAAGTCATATGACTCAACTGTGTCATATGCGTGAAACCCATGATCTCATAATGAGGTCATGTACGAAACATAAATCATATGCGCAAGGCATACCCGCAAGGCACACTCGCAAGGCACATTCACCAGGCACACGTCCCATGACTCATATTTGAGCCAAGTGCGAAAGCATCACAAATCCCACACATAACAAATCCTATGACTCGAATGAGTCATATGTGTGAAACAATAACATACCTGTAAATTATAACCATTTGTCATGTGAAAACCTTTTTCATGCCAAGCCACGTTCGTGACACTATTGTTCAAGTTTTCTATGATACAAGGTTTTATTTATGATATGAGGTTATATTTATTACATAACAGTTCAAAATTACATGAATTGAACAACTGTTGTTCAAATTTATTTTTTGACATTTATAACCCTTTGCCCTTACTCAAAACAAGCATTACAAAATTGCACCCCTCAGGTACACCTTTTAAGCACTTCTCACCATATATTTCCTGAGGGATGGTACCTGTATCCGAAATGTTTGTCACAAAATGCATGGTATTGAAAAGGTTGTTCCGCCAAACGGCACCTAAGTATTTCGAGATTGTGGCTGGCATAACACTTTCAGGCGTTCCCACCAAAAATGCATGATTTCGTATCTGGTTGCACAAGTGCCAAGGACTACCGGTATTGTAATTGAGAAGAAGAAGAAACCCCAGCCATTATTCCAGGTCATCTTCCCTTCCGCACCTGGATTTTCTTTTCCAAATTACACTGAGATTCTGGTGCACGTTTTGAAGTGCACGAACCATAACACATGTTCAAGCATTACTAACGCTAGCGTTCGACAGCACTACCAGGGGGCTTAGACCAGGGTCCAACCGCCACAGCATCAGGCCATAATCACCTTACCGTTTCCGCAAAAAACCCGAGGCAATCACACCCGTAACACTCCCAACAAGCTGAAATACTAGGCGACCACAAGCATTTACAGCCCGGCACGTAGACCTACCATCATCGCCCTAGGTCTAACGCAGGAACCGCGAACAGAAGTCGATCAAATTTTTTAATTTCCACAAAAGAACGAACAAGAAGAGGAGGAAAGAAAGAGAATGGCAACGAAAATGAAAATGATCATATAGAGAAAATAAAAGGCTTGTCCTTCGTCTTTCCCGATCATGTGGCCCCCCTTCCTCCCTCCCGACCCCAAACTAGCCATGTCGTGAAATGAGGAGTGTGTTCTGTCCATTGGGGTTTCAATAGGGTGCAGCTTGGAGATTTTTAGATCCCAAGGCCGGGAATGCTGACTCGTCAGCAACATTAACGTGGCCGCCAGGCTTCTGGCCCCCGCGGTGGTAATTATCGCTGCGCCTATCACCGCCGCCACGACCACGCCCGCGATCACCACGCCCGCGTCCGCCCCTATCACCTCCCCGCCTATTTTCTCTAGGCTCAGAATACCTAGTCTCGAACTCGAGGAGGTACTTCTGCTTGCGTTCGCGGGTCCTGGTCTTTTCCCTGGATTCACCGGCAAAAAAGACATCCTCCTCCTCCACCTTGCGAGAGAGCTCCTTTCCAGCCCATTTCTTGTCATTCTTGGTGCCCTCATTGGGGCGACGGACTTCGGTTGGTGGTCCAAGGCCATCCCGACGCTGCTCAAGCTCAGCACGGTACTCATCGAGAGTCTTGACTTTCTCTTCCTCTGGCTCGGGGGCCACCTCCTCTGCTTCTTCATCCCCGGGAGGAGCATCGGCCGGAGCAGCTGCGTTGGGATCCGCAGGGTCGGTACCAGAGGCATCCTTTTGGGCGAGTTCCTCTCCGACAAGTTCGTCATTCCACTCACTGCTCCCTCTGGTGTCACCCCATCCTTGGTTATATTTCTTGTCGGAGTCACTATAATATATAACTAATCAGCTTTCACAGTTCTACGTCAGCTACGAACAAGTCATTTTGCGACATACGTTCTTCCGGTAGCACTGTGACGATCATACTCCCTGCGCCCTCCACGCCCACTACGATAGCCACCACGGGGAGCAGCACCTTCTGTGGTTTCCTTGCCGAGGTTGTTTTGGCGGCCGGCATCACGATCACGGAATGCTACCCGGTTATTATTAGTAAATTTTAAAATTGATCAACACGGAACAGCCAAAACGATAAACCTAAATGAGCTGTTTCGATGCCGTTTGCATATCAAGAAGAAAACACACCTCTCTCGTTACCGCTATAGGGGCGCCCATGGCCACCAGTAGTGTTACCGCTAGGAGGGGATCCGCCCGTAGCAAAATCGCCAGTAGCAAACTTCTCCACTCTCTTCTTTGAGGTAGTGGAATTCTTAATCACCTCTCTAGGCGGAGGTGGAGGAGGGGCATCGGGGTCTTCGATATCATTCCCTATAAAACACCAGTAGGATGGTTAGAAAAAGGAGGGGGAAAAAGCGGGGTATATTCTCGAAAGCAATCAAAGACAGCCTTGCCCCTAGTTGCCGAATGGAGGAGCACTAGGCCGGAGAGAAGAAATTTTCAATACAAAATATCGAGAGACATACCCAGAAGGTCGAACAAATTCTGCCAAAATCAAGCCAGGACAAGTCAGCTATGATGACGAAACAACTCAGCCAGCAATAGCAAACGTACCTTGGAGGCGACTGAGGCAGACATGATGCCTGCTCTCTCCTGTAATTGTCTTCAAAAGAAGCACGAAGTGGGGTTATTCGATGGGGGATAAAAACAATTCACACCCAAGGAGGAGAGTGAAAGGGGGGAGGGGGTGGGTGGAGGGGATAGCGATGAAATGCTGCTCTTGGTTGTGTGCACAATGCGTGGCTGGTGGTGGGTCAAGGACTGGAAAAGGTCGGCGTCCCACACACAAAACGGGGTTTTTTTTTCAGGGTAACGAAACGCTACCAAAAGGGTGAAGAGAAGATGGGTGAGAGAGCACTTTTGCGTTCGTGCCCTTGTTTTCCATGATAGGGTATACTACGGTATTTCGCACCGTAGAGTATGATACCCGTGCGGTATGATACAACACCTAACGATATTATTATTGAGCTACCGGTACCATATCACGCTTTCTTACAGTGCTATCACAATTCCAGCAATAATGTAAATACATAAAATTCCCTCCCCTCCAATGTTGCTCCAATCACTCGATTCATTAGACCAACGTTCTTTGATAATCACGACGCGGCACTTTCGAAATTTGCACCCCCCTTTCCTATTTCTCAATCCTTTTTTTCCACTTCACGCTGGCTACCTTCGGATGGCTAAAATTGCAATATCTTTGAAATGGGGGAAAAAATGAGACTGCTGTTGATATCAGTTAGGGTTAGCCCTATGCGATTTACCCCTCCACCCCACCGCTCCTCGCTGCCAAAAGAAATTTGTGTCATAAAATTATTATTATAATCCCCAAAATTTAGTCACGTAACGTCGTCGTATCCAACCTACTCGAGCACGGTCTACGCCACTATCGTATTTCAAGCGTGCCAAGAGGGGATGCCAAACCATATCAACGTTGATCAGATAAGATCGGTGCTAACCTCTCCTGGTACAACCGCCACAGGGTACTTGTGGAATGTGGATAGTGTTCGAATAATACAGTACCGTACCGTACCTTACATGATCAATACCATACAGTATATTACTGTAAATTACACTAGGAGATAAAATACCAGAAAAGGGCATTCTCATCCTAACCTCCGACTTTTGGTAAGGCTGTCTTCTATCCTATTACGTCAATGTGAAGCAATCTCACCTCCAACCCCTACGATTAACCATGGTCACCATACTGTGTTCATAACTGCTTCAAACAAACTCCACTATTGTACCAAGCATCAAAATTCATAATTTCTTCATACCACAAGCATCAAACGATGAGATCATGCAGGCTTTTCTTGTGCGCCAGAACTATATGCTTAGGTATATTTAAAACTGACTTTGTTTCTTCTCTGAAATATGAACTAACAGTTCCTATGATTTTTTAGTGTTAGGTAGTTGAATGTCACTATTGTGGATGGACAAGAGCTCGCAACACTACAAGACAAATTATGCATTTAGAACAATGATCTCCCTATGATCGCTCCTCCTCCAGTCCAACATCTGAGAATTGAAATCAAAGTCTTGGTACTACTGAAGTCCAACTGCATACCATTTCTGATAATAGTATGGGCCACAATGACAGAACCTTGGTACTTCTAACACCTGAGAGGAAGGATGTACTTTAGCTGAATACTGCATTTGCAGTATATATAGGAGCCAGGCCATTCGCCCTCTTAGATGGTAAGTATTTTCAACAAGACCTTAGTAGTCTTTCTGGCTATCTCAACTATATCCCACTGACCCATACAGAATTAGCAAGACGCTTGCTAGAAAAGGCCTACAACTTGGTACATCAGGAGGTCATCATGTTGCTCAACAGTGAAGACTATTTGAATATAGTTATGGATGAAAGCAAGGATATTGCAGACCAAAGAATCATTAATATGCATATTGTAACACCAATTAGTGCCTTCTACTATGACACCGAAGACAGCTAATGTAACATTTTTGCAAGTTATTAATCATGTTATCGGTAAATGGTACGATAGTTGACAGGTGGCTTGCTCTTCTAGAGAGGAGGCAAGAGCTGAGAAATAAAGGAGGCTTCGAGGTTGTACTGAGAAACAAAGAGGTAACAATTCAACCAAGTATATTGAAACACAGTCTGTCGATATTAGAGGGAGACAATTTGATAGACTTTAGAATTGTCTAGGCTAATAGAATTTCATTTCTGTAGACAGAGATTGTCTAGGAAGGCTCAGGTTCACTCTTTTCGTTTATTACTACTAAGAGTGAAGTAAATTTGGTAAAGTAAAATAGAATCATAGAAACAATATTATATTGATAAGGTCTCTTCTTCATTGATTCATCATGTCTTAAAGCTTGGAAGGCACTTCGATATTTATATTACACGTTTGAGTATTCGCGGACTACATCTATTTACCATACTACTATGTACCTTTCTGATTATAACTAGCAATGTCAGGTATTCTTGAAAGGTGTGAACACCTGGAGACTCTGAAAATCACTACACCCTCTTTGCTAATTATGATATAACTAACTCGGAACCATACTGTTCCCAATAGTAGTTATCCCATCTTTAGAGTCTTTAGACTTATGGCCTAGTTCTCAAGTTGAACTGAGTTGGCTCCAATTGTCTTTGTTATTGATGAAATGATCAGTTTCATCTGCGGGTTTTATCTGCGAAGGTAGTTGTAATCTTAAACCTTTTTTGGTTGCCTGACTTTAAACCTCCATAACTCCTTGCCCAACCAATTAATGGCTTCTGAAAGACTTTCTAATAATTTGCAGAAAACTATTCTACCGGATTGACAATTATTCCCTTGGTTGACAACCCTTGGTTGCTTTGGGTAACAGGATTTCAATTACTGTTGTAGTATGGGAAGTTGTCTTCGTAACTACAACGTGTTCCAAGCCCTGGTTGCAACACTCTGTGAAGTCTAAGAATTTCTATAGTAGTGTTTTTCAGAGTTCTAGACTCTTCTAGACATTGTAGGGTGAGTGTGAATGTATTGATCTCTTGCTGAGATTCTTTACTATTCAATACTATTTTTTTGTGCAAAAGAATCCTGTTCCCTAAGGCCCATGTCAAATGTATCACCTCTTTGAAGCCTAGTAACGTTCTGAGTAGTTGACAGATTTACTCTGTTCCACTTCTCAGGCCTAGCCAAAGGTCCCCCCACATATAACCCGTGAACAGGATCTGGTCAGACAGACAGCAGCGATGTATACGGTGTTATTCTAATACCTTCAATTCTGTAGTATAATAGTCACAGTACACAACAGAGATTAATATATATGATAGCGAGTGGGCCTATAAGGGGGCCAAAAGGGGGTATTGGAGACCAGAGATTCTGATTCCGAGTAAGGTTACCCTACTTAGAGTAACTCCTAGGTATTGAATCTCGGTATTCCTAATAGTCAAAGTCTGCCTTTTCTATCGTGGAATTAGGCGGTCTTTAAATACACAAATTTTTTCATATCTAGCATGAAAGAAACTAATCAAAGGTATCAAGCGATACACTTCAGTAAAACAAATTGAGTATCAAAGCGATACTTAAAATAAAACATAAAACAAAACCAAGTATCAAATAATACTTAAAACAAACCAAGTATTAAAGTGATACTCAAAACTAAACATAAAACAAAACCAATAATCAACTACCTGTACCGGTTACAGCAAAGACTAATCACAAACTTCTCAGATGTTGTTTGAGTAGATGATGTAACAGATACAAGTTCTAGTAGGAGGTCAGTGATGGTGGCAATTCAATACATTGATTACAGATACATGTAACATGATGGGGGCTGTGTAGTCATTGGTGGAATATAATTCACAAACGAAGCATGTTATTTGTATTCTATGTGACTCTTATGGCTTGCAACTCTTAATCCATGATTGGCTCGATATTGATCCCTATTCAGCACTTCTTGATAAAGCTTAAACGATTGCGCATTTTTTCCACCAAGCAAACCTTCAGTATTCTATATTACAAAAGCATTAATGCATCTACTTCAGAAAGCTAAAGGCTTTTGTTCTTCCAGTTAGCACACAATGGAAAGCCCAAACTGGCTTGATGAGTTCAGTATTGGATAATAAAAGAGCTTTGATAAGTTATCTAAATAATGAAAATACTGAACCCGCACCAGATGTAAAGTCCATAATTCAGTAGACTATCTTTTAGGCTTTTTTGTATAACTTGTATACCTAGTTAAGAGGTATTTCAGAAAGAAAAAAAATGTCAGAATCTATGCATGCTCATGTTGGCTAAGTTTATCAACACTGAATCGAAATTTATGACCATATTGAATTTACCTGTAGGGAGATTGGTACCTTTTAACTCAAACCCGAAGTAACAGTATATTGATTATCAGTCTTTTCAGCATGTTATCAAAAGCAATGTATTTCAATTCACCTTGTTGTCTACTTCCTTGACCAAGTCTCGTTTGCAAGTGAGCAAATTCCAACCTTGGTGGAGAATAAAGTTATTATATCCTTCTTGAAATGATATGGGTCTGGAATTGTAAGACAACAATATGTGCAATTCCGAAGCCAGCAGGGTTGCTTTTCCTATACTGGATTAGTGTGGGAGTTTGCTAGCTCAATACAATCCTATTGGTAAGAAGTTTCAATTTTTTCACCTGACCTCGGTTGTTTAGCACTTCGTATCTTTTATATACCTACGAATTCAGTTCTTTTAAAGTGAGCATTTTCTACTTGAAATCTTTTACATGATAAGAAGTGCAACTGGCTGGGTGCTGAATAGGCTAATAAATTAAGTTTCATTCATATCAATAAGCATATCTTGGATCACCAACCTACAGAGATTTGAGAATGATTAGATAAAAGACTTAAGGATAAGGATTTGGTAGTATACGATGAGGACTGTATAGTGGAGGATGTTGCTGAGGAGGAACCAAGTTGAATTCATAATGCTATTATTTATGGTACTAATAGTTAATTCTATATCTGCATACTATTCTGAACTTTGTTTTACTTCTTGCGAATTGGGAGTCTGAGTTTATACTACTTAGGAATACTATATGTAAACTCAGTTTCTTCAATTTTGCAATATTTCTTTCTCAACAGTTATTATATTTTTCCCTTTCCGCTTAAAACACAAATTACAAAGTTAACAAATATCCAGAAAACTGAAGAGCCAATGAAGTAATCATGAAACAGACTATTCACATGAGTGGACTACTTTTTCTATGATGGTCGGTTAACTGTGCCTGGTAAGTTTATAGTAAGTCACCATACTATACAGTAAGGGTATTTAAAGTTAAAAAGTAGGAATTTTAGTACAAGTAAGGAGCAGACTATGCATTAGTGGACAAAACTAAATTAGCCAATAGTGTCCTGGGATTCTCAGTAGTGTATTTGAGAGGCACATAAAATAAAAACATGGATAACAACTGCAGTAGACTATATTAGCTTACCGAGGAGTGAAAAGTATACGTTATTATAAATAAAATATATTGAACATAAAGAAAGAGAATAGAAACTCAGAAGTAATATGGCTCCAACTTTAATCATATACAGAAAAAAATGGCATATCATCCTCACAATCCTAGCGATTATTTGATTTGGATATCAGAAAAGTCTGAGCAGCTGATAGAGTGATTAGAGGAGCCTGAGAACCAGTGGAAACTGAAGAAGAGTTCAGGAATTACCAAGAAGCAGATTTTTCTACAAATTTCAACAAAGCCTACTATCAAAGGCGGATATAAAGTTAACAATTTGTTAAAGTTATATCGAGAAGCAGTAATGCTTAATAGTCAATCAGCATGGGGATTAACAGAAAGTGATTTTAATATTGGAAGGAAAGCTTTACAAGGTAAGTCAATAATCAATGATTTTGATATACTAAGATGGTTTATTATAACTTGATATAAAATTAAATGAAGAGAAAAATAAAAAAAATAAAAAAATACTATAATAATAATTATTATATAAATAAGTATAAACTAATTGAATAAAAAAATAGAAAAGCTTCTATCCCGGTGCCCATATTTTTTCCGCCTCGAATAAATCTTCGAAGATCGGCCCAATATTCACCTACCTGTAGTCTTTGATTCAGGTATTAGCTGAAATGATTCAAAACAGGTGGTGGAAAGCATGGTCACTATAATGAATAATAAGACAAGAGAAGGAGAACATACCTTTAACTGAAAGGAAGATATTGGAAGGATAGAGAACAGGAGTAGAGAGAAAGAAAGAAGGAAAAGAGGAAGGGAGGGATAGGGACTCAGAGAGGAAGAAATATATGAGGAGGATAATATTGAGAACAAGTAAAGAGAGACTGAGGATGGAGAGATTGAGGAGGAGATAGTAGGCGGGAGTGATGAGAGCTTGGTTTTTCTATCGCAACAGTCAGCGAGACATGATGGAAGGAGCGGTAGAGGAGAGGGAATGGGAGACATTGAGAAAGACCAAGATGAGGAGGAGAAACAAGAAGAGATGAAACAGGTGAACTTAAGAATAGATATAGGAGAAGGAACAGACAATGGAATTGGAAGGGAGGGTACCATATGAGAACAAAGTGGTGAGAGGGGAAAGAGTCAAGAAACTGGAGTAGGGAGGAAGATAGGAAAAGCTTCTAAGAAAAAGAATAGTCATAAGAATTCTTCTTCAGTGATTAAAGCAAGTCAAAAGCGACGATTTCCACATCTAATAGAGAATGAAGAGGAAGAAGATAGAGACATAGGAATTGGAAAGGGGTCTAAAAGGAAGAAGAGTGGTACTGGTACACTAACTGATGCTGTTACAGTTTTAGCCTCCACAAAAACAGAGAGCGAGGGAAAGAAGTTTGACATCTTGGATGAATATTTGTTGCAGTAAGGGGAGCTTCGAAGAGAAGAACTACAATTGGAACAAGAAAAATTAGCAACCAAGAAAGAGAAGGCAAAGATTGAGCAACGGCAGACAGAACTCATGATACTACAATTTCAAGCATCAATGAAATCAAATCAACAAACCCAAAATTCCGATCAAACAACCTCAGAGGATCTTACCTGTGCCTCTTTCAATCTCCAATAGGATATTCCAATAGGATATTACAGTCCATCTTCTTTCTTCTTGTTATAGTTTGCCTCTATTACTAACTTTCTTATAGTCATCCGAGTCTTCCGCTGTCCTTTCTTCTCTACTGTCCTTTGCTTTCCCCTATTCTTTACTCTCCTCCATCCTTTGCCCTCCTCTATCCTTTACTATCCTCTATCCTCTACCCTCCCCCATTCTTTACCCTCCTCCCTCCTTTATCCTCCATTATCCTTTACCCACCTCCATCCTATACTCACTCCCATCTTATACCCTTCCCCGTTCTTTGCCCTCCATTATACTTCACTCTGCCACATTCCTTACCCTCTCTCATCCTTTACCTACCCCCATACCTTACCCTTCCCCATTCTTTACCCTCTCCTGTTCTTTATCTTCTATTATTCTTTACCCTCCCCCATCCGTGGTCCTCCTCTATCTCTTACACTCTTATATCCCTTGCCCTCCGTTATGATCCTTCACCATTCCCTATTCTTTACCCTCCTCTGTTCATTGCTCTTCCCTGTTCATTGCCCTCTCCTATTCATTACCCTCTCCTGTTCTTTGTTTTTTTTTATCTTTTGCCTACCCCCTATCCCTTGCTCTTCTCTATCCTTCGCTCTTCTTTGATCATTGCTCTCCTCCTTCCTTTGTCCTCCCCCGACCTTTTCCCTCCTGGGACCTTTACACTCCGTTATTCTCCATGCTCCACTATCCTTTGCCCTCTCCCGTTATTTTCCCTTAGGTTCTCTAATCTTTTTCCCTCAGGCTTCAACATTCTTTGCCCTCCCCTATACCTTGCTCTCCCATATGTTTTGTCCTTTACAAGGGCCTGTTCTGCAACAAGTGTTCTATTCTGTTTACTTATACAAATTGCCTTGCTGTTCTGTTCTCCAACAGCCAATTTGTATAGATAAACAGAAAGTGTCAGTCGTTGCTGAACAGGCTTTTAGTCCTTCCTCTATCCTCTCTTCATAGTTCATTTTCTTCCTCCTCCCAGCCAGAGTGTGATATCTTAACCTTTATCTTCTTCTTATTCCACTTCTCGCCGAACTACTGCTTCTTCTCTTTAGTTGTTTGTTTTAAGTTCTTTGTTTTTTATTATTTGTTATTCGGTATTCAGTATTCATTGTTCACTATTCCGTGTTTATTGTTTTTTTTTTTTTTTTGTCACTTATTGTTTGTCCTGTTTTGTTTGCTGAAGGATAATCTTATATCAATTTCCTTCTTCGTTAAAGTGATCCTGCATCCTGTTCCACCATTCAATCCCTGCCTGTCATTCGCTTTGTAATCCTAATTGTTCATCAATCATATTATTATCTAATTCCACTTCCTTTTGCTGCCTTTCCAAGTTATCATTTGCTATTCTCCATCTTGTATCATCTTTAAAGTCACAAAGAAAATTGTGAAGTATAATACAGGCTTGGACCCTGCATACTACCTGTCCATGATCTGATTTTCGTTGAATGTAAATTGGAATACTGTGAAGTGAACTCCACCTATTCTTTAATATCCCAAAGTTATGTTCTATTTTTACTCTAGCTTCAGTTAGTTATAAATAGAACTCCTTATATTCCCCTAAAGTTCAACTTGCTTGTAGCTCTTTATAAGGTGTCATGCACCTTCATGTTACCCAGTATGCTTTATCAGCGAGTATTTATTCATCTGGTCGTGAAAAAAATATGTTTAGTTGCATCGAAAATGAGGTTGTTGTAAATACTGTTGTATTAGTAACTGAGGCTGGAAAGCCATTGGATATATATGTGAATCGTTGGTGACTATCACAAATACCTTGAATGTTTAAGCCATAACGCTTCTTTCGGTTGAAATAGCTCTCTCCATGAAATGAGGAATCATATTACAATACCATGTCACTTCCATTCAAGAAACCAACGCAACCAGGAAAACCACTCTCCTGCTCAATCTCATATCGTATGTAGCGAAACTCACTACTTTCAAGTAGTAGCCATCATATATATTGGGTACTTAGATGTACCAGTGCAATGATTATACGATGACAATAAAGGGGAGCTATTCCTTCTCCAATACCTAAAAGCGCAGCTCCTCTGACTGTTAAACTCCTGAATGACCCTAAGAAATACAAAGTTGTTGCCAGTTGAATTATTAGTGATAATTCTGAATTCTGTGAACTATTGTTGAACATAGAGTCCCTACTGGCTATCGCAGACAGCTCATAAAAGGTCTTGCGTTTCATTCAAAAAAATGAGATAAATCGATCTTCAGACATTGAATAAATCTGTAGAAAGTTAACTCTTTCTTTACTTTTCTATACATATTTTGTTTTTAATATACATGATAGTTAAATAAGTACTCACTATATGAAATAGGCTCTCGTAGCACCAGATACCGCATATTTGAAATAAGCAGACCTAGTACTTCAATTTCTTCCACCAGATCCTCATCATCGTCATTCAGACTTTCTAAACTTTGAATAGAAGCTGCTCCCATATCCCCAGTATCCTACAACTTAGTAATTAATATTGTTGGATTAAGTTTTTTAAAAGAATTACTTACTGTCCAGACTGGACAATACCCTACTAGCGGTTGCTCTTTTCCACCTCTGAGTCTGAATAGTAGTAGGAAAAGGAATTCCCAATCATCTTCCTTGAGGAGAATATTTACAATGACATTTGACAGCCATATATTCCCCAGTTCTTTTGTTAGTTGTAACTTTTCTGATATTCGGGGCATCATTGCTGTCTGCAGTTTGTTTGCCAATGAGTTTTTTTCATTAGCCTACAACTCTATCTATATACCTTACTATTACCTGTCACAGACCTCTCTACCTTCATAACAGAATTTACAGAAAAGTGTTGTATGGTATAGTGACATAATAGTAAATTAGCTGTTTGTGAGTGTGCCAAGCTTACATGAAACAACAAAGTAAGCTAAGGATTTTTTGTATTTTTAACTTTGAATACCCTTAGTATGATAAAGTATGGTAATGTACCGTACGTTACCATTCGACCACTAAATGTGGACGAGTGAGAATTTGTACTACTCAAGTACTCACAAAAGGCCCCTCGACTGAAAAAGAAAGAAAAAAAGGGACTCTGACAATAGCGAGATGAAAGCAATGTCGTGAAATCGAGGGTATTCAAATACTTTACATAACCACGATAGGATTTTCTATTTAAGGAAATCACAACCCTGTTCGATCAACAATCATGACACGGGCAACGACAAAAACCTAGCCTTTATCAAAGATCAAATGCAATTAAGGTACAGAGAGAGTTGTCCATCTACTTCCACAATTTAGACAAACTCATTTCTTTGTCATCATGCTTATTTAGAACCTTGGCCGTCGCTAAATCTGCAGCAGCACACGAGTTAGAAACCATCTAATTTTGTGACAGACACCCAACAAGTAAACATTAAGCCAAGACTGCAATGATACTATGTCTTACCAAAATCCTCCTGCGTTACGTGGATTCTTCGTTCTCGCAAGGCGTACATGCCTGCCTCCGTGCATACACCTTTAAGTTCAGCACCGGAGCATCCATTCATCTTGTCCGCGATTTTCTTGAGATCAATCCCTCTGGTAAGATTCATTGACCTAGAGTGGATTCGAAGGATATCTGCGCGAGCCTCAACACTACATCCGTAGTTAGTACCCCCGAGTTAAAATCAAGACGGGTGAACTAACGTTGGAGGGGGAAATTCTATCTTTCGGTCAATTCGCCCGGGCCTTAGCAAAGCAGGATCCAAGATGTCCAATCTGTTCGTTGCCATGATAACTTTAATGTTCTTTGTAGGCTCAAAACCATCCAGTTGGTTGAGCAATTCTAACATGGTCCTCTGAACTTCAGAGTCGCCACCGGAGCTGCCCTCAACACGGCTACTACCAATACTGTCAATCTCGTCCATGAAAATGATACTCGGAGCATGTTCCCTGGCCATAACAAACAGCTCTCTAACCATCCGAGATCCTTCGCCGATATATTTTTGCACCAGCTCAGAGCCCGATACACGGATAAAACGGCAGTCAGTATGATGGGCCACCGCACGAGCGAGAAGTGTCTTCCCGGTTCCGGGAGGCCCATATAAAAGCACACCCTTCGGCTGAGCGATCCCAAGAGATTCAAACAGTTCTGGATGCTTTAATCCGAGCTCAATGACCTCTTTTATTTCTTTAATTTGTTGATCAAGACCGCCAATCATGTCATATGTGCTGTCGGGGACTTTTTCGACCATCATGAGGGAGACAAGAGGATCAACCTAGCAGCACATTAGCCCCGTGCTTGTCAGAGGAGTAGCGGGTCAGCTTACCGAGCTCGGTAGCATCTTCTCTAATCGGTAGGTATCCGAAAGCAAAGTCACACGTTTTCCGGGAGTGAGCTTAGATATATCGACGCTATCGGCCACATCGACAACTAAACTAATTAGCTTAGGCTCCGCAGAAATAGCCCGACCCAGACAAACCATATTTCCCCTCTGGATGTACTTTCACTAAAACCCTCTTGCTCCCCATCACTTTCACCACTTCCCCAACATAAGACCCTGGCTGTTGGAGCAACCCAAGCTCCTCGCGGAGGAGGCGAACTGCTCACGGTAGAGTGTTAGTGCCAAGATCACAGGGAGTGATATACCACATTAAGACATATAAACAATAGCTAATCCAAGGTTGGAACCCTAAAGGAGTCTTGCTCATGTCGAAGCAATACTTGCAGACTCTCCAAACTACCAACCTTCATCACCTATATCCGAGGGAGGGATATTCCTATCTTGATAGAAAGGAAATAACGACACAAACCTCTTGAATTGTAGTCATTTCGCTGGGCTTCCAATCTCCTCAGTTTTGAATTCCTCTCAATAATCTCAAGCTCGAGGGATTCGATCTTATTATGAAAGAAGCTATTAAGCGCCATCTTGCTCAAAAGATAATTCGTATAAGATAATTGATGATCTGTGGGTGTTGGTGATAACGAGATTTGGTTTCCGGGTTGATGAAAGGTAGACAGCGTGGATGTGGATGAATGAGACTGGTAAGGATGGGGGTTACTGTAAGCCCACGAAATACTGGCACATGATTCTCCTTGGCACGGTTCCAATGACCAATGCTGCGCCGGAAAAGCGAATTATTGGGCACAGATGTTGTCAAAGAACACCTCTCCTTTCCCCAGAGCTGCCGGTCATTTTTAACGTTCGCGCTCCCCTCTGCTTTCGGACTTCATCGACCTGTTCTCCAAAAGACAATCCCGCCATCTTTTCTCTCGTCCACATTCACTACCTCCCTCAAACTAGCCCCCCACCACCACATACGCCCTCTTCACGATGTCTGACCAATTTGCTCAAATAGCTGACATTCCTCGCGAGTTCCTAAAGGATGGAACTCTTTTCATCAATCGTTGCACCAAGCGTATGCTTCTCGCAATGACATTGATCTTTGAGCTTGTACGCTAATTTTCCTATGAACTATAGCGGACAAGAGAGAATTTATCAAGATTTCTCAAGCTGTCGGTATTGGTTTCGTCATTATGGGGGTAATCGGGTTTATCGTAAAGCTCAGTAAGGCTACCAAACCTTCAACATCAACTCGATATACTTTTACTAACCGAATTACTTCCCAGTCCACATCCCAGTCAACAATATTTTAGTGTATGTTTCCTTTCCCCTCCGCTCCCGGAGATATTTGCCAGCAACAGCGCTGTTTCGATCGTTGTCAAGAACCCACTGACCGACCTCTTTTTTTATTTACAGTGGCGCTGCGTAAGTAATCGATGAGGTTTTGTGGGGCATCCGGAAGATTCTCTGGTGTGTTTGAAAAAGGAGTCCGTGGTTTCGTTCTGTTCCTAGAATTACTTTATTGTACTATACTTTGGTTGGGAGTCATCTTTTTCTCACAGTTTATATCAACCAAAAACTTGGCTTCCCTTGCATTCTCCACCATTTGTCGGTTTGGAACTACCTTCACTGGCGCCGGCCCCCCAGGTCAAGCCATTTACATCTCGCCAGAAAGCTGTTGATACTAGTATTCTGTATCGGGGGATCATGGGGGATTTGCACAGATCCTGATAGTCATGAGGAAAGTCTAGAACAGATAGCCTACCGTATTATTGTCTCCCAATAGCACACCTCACCGTCTAAGCTCTGCCTGCCATACTCGAGTACCGTACCTACCTGGCCGGGTACAAGTAAGCCTAGCCGGTAGTTTCCGCAAAGGTTGAGTGCCGCAGCCCCAACAGGATTCCTTGCACTACTGTGCTAGTACCGGTACTGTTACTCGGGTATACGAGTACTCAGGATGTACTAGTACTGTATATAATGACGGCAGCAATTTTCTCTCCCCCTCCAACCAGATAAGACCTGTTACTAGAACCGGCACAGTACCTGTACGAGTACTGTACGAGTACAGCACGGTAATCAAGGACTAGCTTCTAATTCCTGAAAGAGCACTACCTATTGAGGTATAGCTGAGCATGAAAACTTTTTTCTGCTATCATACAAGATATATAAGATATTCAACTCGATTGTTGGATCCTGGGGCCACTGGCCGACAGAGACCGTAGATTGAAGCAGGTAGTAGGGTATGATACCGGCGGTGTATAATAGTCTACTAGGAATGGAGTGCCGTGAATACAGAAAGGAGACCTCTGCGGGGGAAACAATGATGCTGCCGTAGATACCAGTACAGTTCCCTCTTCTACTCGTACAATGATACAGTTCCTGTACCGGCACAATACCATACTCTACCGTCCAATGCCTATGATATCCGTATCCCCCCATCTTCTCCAATCGGCCCAAATGCATTCTGTGACCCATTCATCATTCAGCTACCCGCAGGTATTTTGAGAGGGATTCCGGGACCTGACACCAACGGTTGGTGCTGTATTCCATAACTCGCTCCACCAAATGCGTGCGGGTTGTCAGCTATGCTAGTATCATATTCGGGTACTCGAGTACCCAAGTACTCGTACAGTACTTGCATTATCTAGGGAGAGCCTGGGGCTGAATCACGAGCGCGTAATTCGAGAAATAGCGGTGGCTGAACTCTAGACCAGAATAATCACTTGCGGCATGGTGCTGCACAGAGGCAACTGTGGGGAAGCATCATTGTGAGCCAAGAAAGTGCATAATGGAAGAGAGCTTAGCACTATGCCGAAAAGTACCCCGTCAGAGGGTGACGTGCGTCTGATA